TCAACTCCTACAATATTAACTTTATTTTTTTTTAATTTATTTTATACTTTAAAATTTTTTTTATTGTAGGCTTTTCTATACAAATTTTTTATATTATCTCATTATTTTTTCAAATTAATTTTTTACACTACCTATATATTTTTAAAATTATTTATATACAGATTAGGCAACAATAGAATTTTATCTAACATAATATTTTTTTCCTCACAATATAAAATTCATATTTACTCTACCCCCACGCTTTAACTCGTTATTCATTATTCACACCAGGTTTTTAACTAATACTTATTTTTAACATATCGGGCCAAATGTGTGTTAAAAAGAGGCATTTCATTATATATTTATTTTTGTACTTATAAATTAAGTTTTTACACAATTGTATGAAAACTAATATTATTTCATACTTTGTCACCATTTGTTAAAGATTAGGGCTTGTATTTGTTTTCTTACGTTTTTATATACCAAGTATACTTGGTATATAAAAACTTTGAAGTACAATAAGATCGGATGCATATTAGATTTTTATTGCATTATATACTCTAAATAAAACAACAAAAAAAATCTTTTTTTCATCCGATCTTATTGCATTTGTAACATGTTCACTACAGTTAATTAAACGTATAATTTTAGACAAATATTGAAACAATATTAGGATATTTTTGTAAAATGATATTCGATAACTTAAATATCATCAGCATTTAAATTTTTTTAACTTTAGTAATCGGAAGGTTTAATAGCTTTAAAATTTTTTGGCATATTTCCAAATAGTTTTAATGCAAAAACGTAATCTTGTGGTTCTATTTTTAACATTTTTTTGAACACATTGGAGTTTTAAAGTTCTTTAAAAGTGAAAAAGTTTTTCTTTGAAATTGAAAATTTTTAAATTAAGAGGGTTGGAATTGAGTTGTGAAATTCAAACTTTTTGAGATGACTGAGAAAAAGTTATGAGTATGAAAATTGTTTTAAAATATAAACATATTTGGGGAAAGACGCCTATGATGGCATAGCGCCTATGATGGCATACTAGTCATATTTTCATAAATATTGGTTATGGAGAAAAAGTGATTAAACCAACATGTCTGCTGACTTTATATTAGTTTTAGTAAAAATATGTCCATTATGCACAAATACTGCTTTATAATCAAGAAAAATTGATTTTGGAATGTACTTTTGTATTTTAAATCCCTTTAAATATTTAATATTGTGGTTTTATTATTAACTGTGCAGAAATAAAATTTGTATGCATTTTATTTCCAAGTTTTGCGCATTTAGTGGAATACTTACTTTAATTTTATATTATAGGGCAGACATAGCTTGTTTAAATGAAAATGGTGACTTCTTTCTATGATGGCATACTGACGAGTTAGTTATGTTGCAATATTGGGGAATGGAGAAAACCTTTTTTTTTTTCATAAAAACCACATACTTGTTATTGAAGTAAAAAGAAATTTTTACTTCACTAAAAAATTTATGGTTCAAAAAACACATAAAACGCAATATCTCTTATGCGCATGCGCAAAATTTGACACTGCTGCTGTGTAGCAAGAATGAGTTAATTAGGATGATTACGTGTAGTTTCTGGCATTTCTGAGGGAAGACTCTTAGGTCAAATGAAACTGTCAATTTACCTTTGATGCTAACCAACCCCATCCTCCCCTATGCCATCATGGAAGCAGTAGTTGCCTATGATGGCATACTTGTACTTTGTTTTTAAAAATAAAATAACTAATAAAAAAATACAACTTATGAAAATCTATGTAATACAATCGTTAAACCTATGTATTTAGGGGCTTGATAAGACAAATGTCTTCTTCTTACCCCTGCTATTAGTATTTACGTATGTTTTATGTTATGAATAAATTTATGTGTTATGTGGCAAAAAAAAAATAAATAAATAAAAAAAAAAAAAATGTTATGATTTAAATTTAAGTTTTAACAAAAAATAAAAATTCAACTCTAACAGAACTAAAAACAACTTTAGAATATTTGTTTGATTAAATACTTAGTTATGAATTAGGAAGTGGTTTAATTTCCGGTGTCAATTTATTAAACATTGTATGCAATTTGTTACATTGCAGAAAAGTTGATTTATTCGAACGCTCTAACAAGTAAATTATTTCTTTACATTTTTTTTATCTTTAGATTTTGTTTTAATTTTTTTAAATTTACCATTAAAAATTAGTTAACAAACAAGAATTACAATGCTTTCTATAATATATATGATGATGCCCCAAATTTATTTCATATTTTTTATTTTAATCTTTTTTATTATAACCGTGGTTTAGTTATTTAAATCATTTGCAATAAAAGTGACGTCAAGTGTTTCGACTAATTTTGATATTACGTATAGCTATCAAAGGTAGGGATGGCTCTTTTACTAATTTTATCTAAAAATATTTGGATGCTACCCATAGATGCAAACCTTGACTAAGTCACTGTTCGTTAGAGCACGCTTTTTCTACAATTTCTTTTCTTTATATTTACCTTTTCAATCAAATATTTTGTTATGGTAATATGACGCAATAAAACATTTTTGGTATCCGCAAGGACATCGACTGCTAAAATAGTTTTAAAAAAGTTATAAGTTATTTAAACTATCTGGTTTAGTCTATATTATAAAATAAGTGTTTATCAGATATAATCTTTTATTGTATTTTATCAAATATAATCTATTTGAAAAAAGATGGTAAAGAAAGTCGGTCAATCTTCTCTTTTAGGTTGTGGGCACCCTAATAACTTTCTTTTTGTTGCGTTGGTGTCCGACCCGCACAAGGAAGATTAGAAAAATAAAATCTAATTTAATAAAAATAGTGCTTTCGAAGTTTGGCTTTACAAGTTGTTTGTCGGTTATCAGTTGTCCCAGAATATTGTGATTGATTTTTCACTACCTTTCAGACTATGAAACATTCAGCATTTATGGAAATTTGATAAATGTACATGTTAAACTTGTTTTCAGAGTCAACCGAAGAACTCCACATTTTTGTATCTCTTTTTTCTTTGGTTTTACTTTATCTTTCAGACTTGATTGAACTCTGACATTTATATTGTTCCAATGAACATGCATGTTAAGTTTGTTTCCTGGACAAAGAGAGCCGTACCCTAACTTTTTTTCTCAAATATACATATTTTTTAAGCTATAAACTTTTAGAAAGAAAGACTTTTTACAAAAAAGCTTTAAAGAAGGCATTTTTTTGATTCACTTGTTTTAGTAATAATTTTTTTGTCGAAAGGAAATAGATTTAAGGCCTTGATAAAAGTTTACCGTAAGGGGGCCGAGCATATTTGTAGTTATGTTGCTTCTTTTTGCTTCTCTTATTCAGCGTGGTCGTTGTTAACAACCACTCTAACAGAAATGAAAATTTTTTTTTTTTTTATTAATAGCTATTGATAAAACTGTTGTTTTGAATGAAATAATTTCAATTATTGCAAACAACAATTATTCCAGTTAGTCATTTTAAGAAATAACGGTCTTTTATTAAAAGACCGTTTAATGTTATATATAAGAACAATAACCAGACGATCTTTTATTAAAAGACCTGTTAAAATTTAGTTTTTAATTTATTTTAAAAGTTTTAAAACAAATTAAAAACTAAATTTTAACACTTTTAATTTATTTGCATTTATTGCCATTTTCTGTTTATGCCCACATCAAAACTATGGAACCACTCTTGTCAACATCTTAGCACAATTACGAAACGATATTGACGCGCCAGTTCTACAATAACAGGTTCTACAATAAAAGGTTGATAAAATTTTTTTTTTCGGAAAACGAACCATTGGTTTAAGATATAAGATATACAATTACATATATAAGATATACAAAGTAAATATCAAAGACAAAGGCTTATAATAATTTTGATATGTAATGAAATAAATATAAAATGATGACATCACAAAATAAATATTTTACGATATCATCATAAAATAAATATTTTAAGACAATATCATAAGTCAGATTTCTCGTCGAGTACTTTGATACTAGACGTGTAGTAGACAAAAGAAAATTAGTTCACTTTGTAATCGATATATTTATTATTTAAAAAAATTTTTTTTGATGAAAATTATTTTTATTATTTTTTTTTTTAAATTTATTAAAAAAACTTTTTTTTATATAACTAATATTTTCTGAACTAGCATTTTAAACTCACCACCCTAATTCCTATCCCTCTAATAGGGGTGTCATTTTTCTTTATAGTTTAAATGATTTTTTAACAAAACTTGGCTAAATTACTTTGTTTAAGAAAAAAAAGGAAAACTTTTTTACAAAAATTTTCCTCATTAAAAAAATGTTTCGAAACACACACACGCGTTCACACATGTGCAAACACACATGCAGTTAGTATGAATAAAACGTTACTTTTATCACAAACAAAAAACCCTTTCATGAAAAACTTATTTATGAATATCTGTTTGGAAATATTTCTGTATTGATCTTTCTAAAACACAAACAACAAGTAGAACAACAGTTAAAAGAAGCTGCGTACAAATAACCTGTGCGTAGTAATAGTCTATGCGGTAGTGGTGTAATGGTAAAGCCCACCTTAAAAGGGAAAAGTTCCGAGTTCGATTCCCACCACGTTCCTGGTATTACCACGGTCATCTTATTTTTCCGCGCAGCGACCTGGTTCAAAAGATTCGTGTTTCGGAGTTATAGAATTGAGAGAGGGTTATAACCACAACTAAAGTAGCCTCCTCGACTGTAGAGGCCTTCTGGGCCTTGGGGAGATCAATTAATATGAAAAAAAAATCTGTATTTTTTGTTTTTATGATATAATTATATTATTGAAATAAAATACGCTTTAGATGTAATGCAAACGCATAGAAATTCGATACATTTAGATGTAATGCAAACGCATAGAGATTCGATACATAGGTAAAACAAACACTTTTAATACATACGCAACTTTTGTTTTTTATGTGGTTTTAACAAATGTTTTTTGAGTAAAAAAAACAAATTACATAGCTTATATCCAATAAACCTAAAGTAGAATAAAAAAAAATAAAAAAGCAAAATATGATATATTTAACTCAATACATAAGTTACAATGAAGTATATTAGAAATAAGTAAATGGCTCTAACGGAGTTAATGTTGAGACATCGAGACCCAATCTAATAATAAAAAAAAAATTTGATTAGAAATAAAATTAAACGAGATTTACAAATTTCAAATTATTAAACTTAAATTTAACAGTAAATAACACGGTAAATATTGTTATATAAAACTTGAATTTATATATATATATATATATATATATATATATATATATATATATATATATATATATATATATATATATATATATATATATATATATAATTTTTAAAAATGCAAAAGTAGTAAAAAAAGCAACGAAAAAAAATGTACTTGTTTATTAATAAAAATAAATAAATAAAATATAATATAAAAAACATATATACAATATAAATATATATGTTTACCGTCGTCCGTTAGCCATAATTAAAGCATCACTAATTAATCTGTACTCCCTATAAAGAAAATGAAAAGCATAAAAAACACAGAAAAAATAATTTTCAATCTATTTTTTTAGTAAGAAGTGAGATCATAAAACAACTTCTTTTAGAATTATATAAAAAAATGTAAATTGTAAAAATAAGAAATTTAACGGTTATAAACTTGCTTTGTATTTTCTGTGCAATAATTAATTGCCATTTTAAAATTAACGTCAAAAAGCGTTACATCTGCTTTATTTTTTAGCAAAACTTCAACCAAATCCTTTTTTTTTGTTAGCACAGCAAGCATGAGGGGTGTTCTGTAAAATTATATTTTAAATCATTTTAAATTTTTATGACGTAATGGTTTTCATAAAAATCAAACACAACTAGAAGTACAAATTCTATAAAAGTATTTTATTATAATTTCAGAAAATATTACCTTTCATATAAATCTAGACTATTTACATCTTCATTTTCTAGCAACATTTCAGCTACTTTGATCACGGAGATGTCTTTTCTTGCATAACATAGCTTATGCAAATAATTTAAAGTCTCTGCTTTGCGTGTCCTTTCTTTTAAACGGTCGTACATACTTTTTATTACCTCTATTTCTTGATCGCCGTACTTCTGCATAATATAACCAAATGCAGCCCGAATTATATTGTTCTTGATGTAGGTGTTCTTCATCAAAACTTTTACGCATTGTAATGCTCGAATTTCAATAGCCTAAAATATTTACAAATTTGATTAAACAAATTCTAAAAACTTATAATAAAACACGAAAAAAATAAAAATCAACAAAACAGTATATAGGACTGGCAAACCGGTCCGGGCAGGTCTACCACTGCCTGCATGGGCCCCTTGAATTAGTTTTAAAAATATATTTACACTTGGGAAAAAAGATAAAAATTTAGGCTTTTGACTTGGTTGTCTTCGTTTTTATTTAACTTTAGTTTTGAATCCCGCTAAAATTAAATTGTATTTCAGTCGAAAACTAGACCTGATTGAGTGGCCTAGTTAGTTAAAAATTTCGAAAAATTATTTACGGGACAGCTAATTTAAAATATAAAATAGCTGCCCCGTAGATAATTTTCCGAAATCTGATAACTTGTTTCCTACCGCTCAAGTTTGTATGTATGTACATATGCATGCATGCATGCATGCATGTATGTATGTATGTATGTATGTATGTATGTATGTATGTATGTATGTATGTATGTATGTATGTATGTATGTATGTATGTATGTATGTATGTACCATTTTAAAATTGCTGTAAAATACAATACTATACCTTGAATAACAACGTCTTTCCAAAACTATGACGCTTATTGATATTGTTTTTTTCAAAAATTGTGCAGCCCGATGATGCACCAAATTGTAATAATCTATAAATAAAGCATTTTTATTGACTATTTTTATATCTTAACAATATTAATCATGATTTCTGCATCAAACTTTTTTTACAAACTGATAAAATTAGAAATCAGTCAGATTTAAACTTTTGAAACAATAATAACTTTATAAATTATCATTATGGCTTTAAGATATTTATTTCAACCATATAAAATAATTATATTTCTTATGGAGTTAAAAATTTTCAATTTAATTTATATTTTAAAAATATATTCAGAATATTATAAAATCGATGTTGAGTAATTTTGTTTACTTTTTTCGCTTCCTAAATTGATTACATAATTTTTTATAATAATTTTTTTTCAAAATGACCGTAAATGAATTTATTTAATTTTCATGCATAAGTTGATAAATAATACAATAAAATACCTGAAAATCCTCGGCAAAGTATATTCTTGAGGCAATTTATTGGAATTACTTTCACAAACTACATTTATTTGAGTTTTTTTTAAAAACTCATGTTTTGCCTTAATCAGGACGACTTTTTGGTCATCATCTTTTTGAATTGATTCTAAATGAACTTTGCTTGATGTATTTTCACCAGCTTCGCTTGAAATATTTTCACCAGCTTTGTTTAATATATTTTCACCACCATGGCTTAAAATATTTTCACGGATGGGTCTGCATGAAACCAATTTAATATTTTTAGAAGAATATTTTTCTTCGCTCAGAAGTGTTGGAATTTCCTTATAAGATTCTAAATCGAAATTTTTCTTTTTTAACCAAATTAATTTTGATAAAAAAGACTTTTCTTCGACTAAAGAGTACGTTACTTTTGAAGAACGCAAAAGTTTTATTATTTTCATGTCAAACATTTAAAAAGTTTTCCGAAAACTAAAATTTTAAAATCTATGACTTTTTTAAAACTTAAAATTTGACGTCACTTAAAAAATAATCAATATACAGTGACTTCAATTTTCGTTATGTAATGACGTAACTTTCAAAATAAAAAATGAAATAAAAATAAAAACTCTAACAACTAACAACTATAACAACAACAACAATAAAAACAACAACAAAATCTCCGGTAACATTTCAAAATAAAAATAAGAATTTTTTGGTTTATTAATCAATACAAACTCGTCATATCTGTAATGAAATCGTTAACAAAGTGTAGTATTTAGTAAAAACCCACAAATTTTGTCATCGTTATTTAAAGAACGCGGGAAATTTGCAGAAGACCGATGGTTTAGGCACCACTTTACAGTATTATATATTTTTTGCATACTATCCCTACAATAAATTCTATATTTATATACAAAATAATATCCTCAGTTTATTGTCAGTTTCGATAACATAAAAATAAAAAGAATCTAAGAAAAATAGAAAAAAAAATGCAAAAAAAATGCAAAAAAAAAAAAGCTAATCATAAAGAAACATTTTATTGTGATACTATAAATATGTTTCCAACTCATTTATTATATTGTCAGTTTATTGTTGGCTTATCAGTTTATTTTCAGTTTAAGGTGATAATAAACTGATAAACTAACCTAATGTCGATACATGATTTACTATATTGAAAATATAGTAGGTATAAATAAACTTGACAATTGTAGGTAGAATTTTCTTCTATGTTCTTCTTTTTCTTCTTCTATTTCTTCTTTTTTTGAATTTATAGATTATGATTAAAGTTTTTTTATAGTTTTCATAAGTTTTACGTTTTTTGAATAATAAAAGTTAATAAATTTATCTGTGTTTAAGATGAGAGTTTTTTAATATGTTTTTAGAGACTCAGGTTATTTGATTTTGCAACCACGATACATTAAGGACCGCGATATGAAATGTGGTTGGTTTCCTTCTCCTCTATCGTATCTATTTTTGCTATTATGAAAGAAGTTTTTTTGAGAAATGCAAAGGAACAAGTTTATATTTTAGCACAAACATCAAATTTTGAAATATGTTAATTAGAAATATGTTAAATATTTTCAAAGTGGCTCAGCATGTGAGAATTTATCTTGATTATAATATATTCTTGTGACTAATTTGGAATTGTGTGACTAATTTGGAATTATGAGTACTCGCCTAGTTCAATACCGAAATCCACTATTTGGCTATGAAAATTAGTTTCATTAGAAAATGCAATTATACATTTGTTGCTTTTGGTGATTTTTTTTATAACTTCTTTCTACTTTATGTAATAATAATAAATTAATAACCATAAATAAATTATACGAAATATAAAATTACTCATAAAAAAAATATATAAAAAGAACTAAAAGCTTACATCCTCGATTTCTAACTTTTTGGTATCACGAACAATATTTTGGGTCCACAGGGCAATTATCTCTTGTTACCTCGAACCTTTTAACAGATTTTTTTAAGAAATGTTTTACAAACATTTAATTTTTTAAAATTGCAATTTTTGAAGAGTTTTGCTATAAAATTATTTTAAAATTCGATTTTTAAATTCGATTTTTTTTGAATCGAATTTCTGAAAAGTATTCTTTTAGAAGATTAATTTATTGTTTTTGTCAAACGCAAAACATGCCGCTCGATAAACAAAAACATACAAACAATTCTATAATAGAAAAATGCAAGGCATTAAAAGATCTGGACAAAGGGATGTCTAACAAAGAGGTTGCCCAAAATTATGGTGTCCTTACACAATATTAACGTGGTTTAAAAATAGAAGCAAATTATTAGCCTTATTGGAAAAAATGGCACAAAATTTAAACGGAAAAAACTTCGTAGTGGTAATTTCGAAAATGTGGACAAGACCATATTTACGTGGTTCGTCGTATAAAGAAGTCAACAAGTACCAGTTGATGGCACCATACTGAAAGAAAAGGCACTAAAACTAGCACTAAAACTGGTTGAATTTCAAAGGTCAGTTAAACTTCAGTCAAAGGTTGTTTAACTTAAATATAAACAGATACACATGTAGCAGCATTGAATTTTTCAATCGCGTTATTAAAATTCAATTATTCTGCTCCTATTTTTAGGAACGACGTAAAATAATTTCAGGCGAAAGTGCCGCCGTGAAAAAATGATATGACTACTTCATGAAATAAAACTACACTTCCAATATTGCTTTCAAATTACTAACTTAAAAACATTTTTAATGGCGATGAGTTTTGACTATTTTACTAGTGCCGACCAAACAAAACGTACCATTTATCACGAGAATAATGTTTCTGGGAAAAAAATGTAAAGTCCGACTAACAGGTATGACAGCTGGGAGTGCAACGGGAGAAAAGTTACCTATGTTTGTTATTGAAACATTTAAAACCCCACGATATTTTAAGCACATTAAAAAATTTTCGTGCGCATATAAATATCACCTAAATATTTAAGTGACCGGAGGCCTTTTTACAGAATGAATAAAGAAGCTTGAATCGCCTTTTCGTGTTCAGGGCAGGAAAGTAACACTCCTGGTGGATGACTGTTTTACCCATTCACATATTGAAGAGTTAAGTAACATCATTTTATGATATTTTTTCCCTCTAACATCACATCTGTCCTTCATTCCAGGAATCAAGGTGTAATACGCCTTTAAGCTTCTTATCGTCACAAAATAGTGCGTTTGTGTATCAAGGCTGTCGATAATAACAAACCCCTGCGAAAATTTTTTTTATACTTCTAGCAATGAAAGATCTTGTTTCTTTATGAAATACTGTGTTAAAGGACACTTTCTTTAATAATCTGCTTTAATAAAGCTTGTATTAGCAAAACAAGAGTATTGTAGAAGCTAATGATGATCATTCTTTTAAATCTTTGACAGAAGAGTTTGACCATTTGCGGTCAAACTCTTTTGAAAAGGTGGATAATTTGAAGCAATACCAGATAACAGATTTTCTCCAAATATTGCTGTTTTTTTTTTTGTTAATGATTTTTATCATTAAAATAACTTGTTTCTTAATGAACGATTTTACTTATTTTCAACCTCTTTCTTGGTATCTCGAAATCCCCTTAGTGTTCGAGATATCGAGAGTTGAATGTATTTAAATTATTTAAACTAAATTTGTTATCTTAAAAAAAAAACGTTAATGGTTTGCATTTGTTATTGCGTTTGTTTAATTTTGATTCAAAATATTATGCGCACTGCAATGGTTTGATTATTTTGAGATTTTAATATTATATAGAAGCGGATAAATATGCGCAATTTACTAACCAAAAAGTTCAGAAAAACTATGGGTCTAAAACAGTGACGGATCCAAAAGAGGGATAGGAGATATGATTCCACCCCTCCCCACCCCCTACACACCAGAATTTATAAAAAATTTGGATATCAAGGTTCAAAGTTGAACACCATTTAGTAAGCAAACCGTACCTTATTTTTAAAACTAAATAAAGCCTTGAATAAATTGTACTAATCTTCATTCTTTATCTAATAATCTTATAAGATAAGAATTCACTTTGCAAAGACATTGCAATGGAGGCAATGTTTGCAAACACTGCTTCCATTGCGATGTTTAATAAATTTGTTTAATCGCAAAATATAAAAATAAAAAGTTTTATGAAGAAAAAAAAAATCAAAAAGCATTTTTAATAATTAGACTATAAAAAAGGTGGAAAAACAAGAATATAGGATTTAAATAAATAAATGAAAAAAATAAACAAAACAAATAAAAATAAAGTTAAAATTAAAAAAATTTCGAAAATGGAAAATAATAAAAAAGAACTCAATTTTTTCTACTACCAAAATTTTATGGAAAGAAACAAAAAAACAATTTTAATTAATTTTTGTACATTCTTTATATGTCGTGTATATAAATAATTTTAAATTTATTTATTTTTTTTCATTTTTCTCTGATCTAATTGTTGTTGCTTCTTCTATATATTGCTAATTACTTTTGTTTTTTTAAATATATATACCCAGTGGGCACGCGTCCGCAGGACGTCTCACGGACGTCCAGACGTCCGTCACACGTCTGATTGATGACATATGCCCACTGGGTAACGTATAATATAGTTAATTAATTAATTTAACCAAAAAATTAAAGATTACAAAATTATTTATAATTCAGAAAACTAGGTTCGGTATCATTCGCAAAGTTAAAAACTAGTCAATAAAATACCTTAATAAAATAAACAAGTAAAATTTAAAAAAATATTATAAGACAAGGAAATAATAAAGAAAGTAAACAACAAGGGCAGAATATGACGAAGCCCTAAAAAGAAATGGGTTCAAAGATTTAAGCTTCAAATACAATCCTAAAATTGATACCATCTAACCCCCAATCGTAAAAGAAAAAGAAATATAATCTGGTTTAACCCACCATACAATAAAAACGTTCTCACAAATATAGGCAAAACCTTCTTACAATTAATCGACAAACACATTCCAAAACCAAATCCGCTTCATAAACTATTTAACCGTAATACAACAAAAGTCAGCTACAGCTGTACAAGCAACATAGCAAAATTATAAAGAACCACAACAATAAAATTATTTCGATGAACTCAACGGCTACTTTAGCTTGCAATTGTGAACTAAGCAAAATCTGCCCTATAAACGGAAATTGCATAAAAACAAATGTAATTTATAAGTGCATTGCATCGTTTCCAAACACACCCGACAAAACATAGATTGGTTCAACAGAGGGCATGTGGAAAACTAGATAGGCGAATCGCAAGCAATCCTTCAAAAATAAAAAACTCACAAACGCAACCACGCTTTCAAAATATCTACCGTAAAAACCCCTAATTCCGGATGGTTTAGGATTTAAATTGTCATAACAAGCTCAATATAAAGCATTTTGAAATAATTTTTTTAAATAAATAAACTTCATAACAAGACAAATCAAACAATATAAAAAATATTATTTTTGCAATATAAATCTATCTTTTATTTTATTTTTAAAAAATATTGTTTTTATCCGGAATTAGGTGTTTATGTTCCAAATTCCGGATGCGTATAAAATACAGAAAAACGCATACACAAATAATACTAACATTAAAATAATTATTTTAATCCATTAAAAAAATGAAATCGTTTTATAAAAAAAGAATATATATTATTTTATACACATTTGTTACAAATAAATTCCATGGTTGGACGATAATCAAAGACACATTCAATGCATGACCAATTTGAACACTGCTCACACGCAAGCCATTGGTTATCTAAGTTATTTGTCCAATTAATTTCGCAAGAATAACATAGAAGATCATTAGATACTAAAATGTTATTTCAAGCTTGAGGAAAATGATGGTCTTCTAATCGATTCTTTGTCTTTACCTAATTTTTTACCTGGTATTTTAGACGACTTTGTCTCAACTTTTTTTTTCCTTCTCTTTTCTGTGCATTTTTTGCTTTTTGAGTAGCAGTGGAAATCTTTTTTTGTTCTCTAGTAAATTTCTTTGCAGCTTGTTCATCTAATTTTTGTTTTTTTGATGCTTGTTCAGCTTTATCGTAAGCTATGGCATCCGCCGAAGTCATATTATAATTAGCTGGTCGCTTTACTCTCTCACTTCTTTGAACTCTTTTATTTAGAGTTGGTGTCAATTGATCTCGAAACATATTTAACACTGATTTGTTTATAGCATTATTCAAAGTAGCAAAGCTTTTAAGCAAAAATTCACGATTTGACATTCTTGACGGTGTGTTAGGTGTATTGGTAGCATTTCCCATAACTAATGGACTAGATACTGTTGAAGAATCAAATAATTTTTCAATATTGTTGCTTTCGACAGCTTGAAACACAGCACCAACGGATTTTTATTTTGAAGAAATTTGCGAACGATCGATTGGAAATATACCAGTATTTTTGAAACCACTCCGTGCATTTTCAGGTTGAGATCCTTAAACATAGCCGGAAAATGTCGATTAGCCAGGCTTTGAAAGTGATTTTTAGTCAAATAACTTTCGACAATTCTCTTTCATGCGCCTTTTACTGTTTTAAAAACGCCAACATCTAGTGGCTGTAAAAAATGGCTGGTATGAGCCGGCAAAACGCCAAAGTAAAAGTATAATTTTCTAAAGCTTTTTTTTCAACTCTAAGCTCATACGTGAATCATGGCCATCAAGTATTAGAACTTTAAATCCTAAAAGTGAGGCAAAAAAACTGTTTCAAACCACGACAAAAATGTTCCGATTGCATCCAGCCTGAACTACTACTGTTATAATAAACATTCTGGGCACCGCCTTTTCACCAGTCTTTCATAACATGTTTGCCTTTATAAATTATTTGATGAGGTAAATAATTACCGAATGCGTCACAACAAGTCAAGATCATTTGCTTTTCATTCGATGGTGCTAGCTTTTTAGGGTTTTTGTTTCTTTTCTACAAATAATTTTGACTTTGCCTTGATCAAATTGCAAACCAGACTCATTACAGTTAAATATTTGAAACGGCTTATCGCCTAAATTATGTTCATTATATGCTATTGCTAATTGCTCAAACCAATTATCAATTATAGCTGGTTGTGTGGCCACAGTTTTAACAGTTTGCATACTGCTTACTTTCCTTGGGCAAATTTCTTACGATATTTATTCATAAAACCATTTTCTAGTCGGTTTGCCGTCTTTGAATAGACTACGTTGGTTTCATTCTTTTAAATAGTTTTCAACAACAATAAACACGTCTTTTCTATTCAAGCCGAAGCCTATATCACTCATAAATTTTAATAAATCAACAATAATAGCTTTAGTGATGTTGCTCATCTTTCTTGGCGCTCCTCGATTATTAGATGATCCTTTAGTTCTGTCAAAAAGTTTAGATTTTGCCACATTATAACACTTAGCAGCTTGTACGTATGACATTTTTTTTTTTTCAGTAATAGCTTGAATAGCTAGCTGGATTCGACTCTCGCTTTTCTATTTGTTTAAAATAATCCATATTCTTTAATACAGTAATACAATTAACACAAATGCGTTAACTTTATGGATGCTAAAAAAAATAGCTGTATCTGGATTAGTGTCAATTATTTTTTTCCCTTAAATTATGTGCATGAAAGTGATAAAAAATAAAATAGCCAAATTGTAATTAACTGAATCCGGGACTCAAAAGTATATTTGTTTATTGCTGCTGGCTAATTTGTTTATTATTTTTTTTAGATACATGAAATAATAATTACCTCTATCCGGAATTAGGTGTCTTTTTTTTTGGCTGGTAGCAAATTTGTTTTTCATTTTTTTCAATTATTTCAAAAGGTATTTTAATTATTTTTGGCTAAAATAATCAGCATAAAATTCTGCACAAAATAGTGTTTTTACTTTTTTAATTTTTTTGTTGCAAGTCAAAGTTTTTTTTTTCCTTTTTTTTGTTTTTTTAGTTATGAGAGATTTCAAATTGAAATCTTTCATGATTGCATTAGTTTATATAATTTTTGTTTTATATTTTTCGATTTGTCTGGTAAAGATGTTTATTAATTAAAAAAAAATTATTCATGAATTCATTATATTAAGGGAGTTATGAAAATTTTTACTAAAACCATCCGGAATTAGGTTATATCCGGAATTAGGGGTTTTTACGGTATGGGATACACAAAATAAATCAAAAACAACACCCAATTTAAAATGGTCCATCATAAAATATGCCCCCGCCTACAACAACATAACCAAAAAATGCCTGTTATGCTTATACGAAAAACTAATTATTTTATTGTATAAATATCCTCAAGAGTTATTAAACAAAAAAAATGAACTAATATCTAAATGTCGCCATGAGAACAAGTTTTTGCTGGACAACCACAAACCAAAAGATTAGATTTTTTAAACTCATTTTCTTTTGTACAGATTTATTATTTTTTCACGAGAAAAAAAATATAAAAAACAACATATTTACACCTGATGATTGCATTTAGCATGAAACTTATAGTTGTAAAAAATATGTAGTTTTATTTATAAATAATATATATATATATATATATATATATATATATATATATATATATATATATATATATATAGCAAAAAATAATGAAAGAAAGATGAACTGTATTATTTTTGTAGTACATAGAGAGATTAGAGGGACTAGTACTGTACTTCTTCGTGTTGATCTCCATGAGCCTCGTTGCCAGACAGTAATACAATATTAAAACCCTGGCGCCAGCGGTAAAAGAAAAATGTATTAAAGCTTTATCATATTAAAAAAGACAAAAACTTTTGTGTGTTTTTTCTACTGTCTATTCTGAGTTTAATAAAAAGAAGACAGGCAATATTGTTAAATCGAGGTCTTAAACTTGTTTTAAGGCTAATTTGACAATTCAAAACAATAAAGGCTGTTACAGCATCTTCGCATGGTCTGCATCAATGGATATTGTTGTTACAACAAATATAATTTCTATTACTAAAGTAAAATATAAAACTACGATTACAAAATAAAATCTTTTACTATAAAACAAAGCCTAAACCAAGATTTCTTGGTTCATGCTAAAAACATAGTGTTTGGTTTTATTGTTTTTTATAGCATAACTTTGTATTGGGTAAAATTGGATTAAAACCTGAATACAAGGTTTTAATCCTCGGAACATCAAACGTATTCACGTACTATGAAAAACTCTCTTTTTTTCCTTCTTTTTTCTTAACCAATGCCGCAATTATAAAAAAAGTATTTTTTATGAGACTAACGTTGGCTATTTTTCCAATAACTTTTTTTGTTTGAAATTTTGTAACTTTGTTGTAAACTCTTATGATACTTGAAAAGCCCGCCCTTTATATGTGAATAGCCCGCCCTTTATATGCGAATAGCCCATCCTTTTTACAGTGCTCCCAGTTTATTTGATTATTGTAATAATTTAGTTGATTATTAAAACATTCAGGATGTATAATCATCGCTGTTACATTATTAAAAGACAAAATTTTTATTAAAATTTGTAATATAATATATAGGTAAATATTTCCTTCGAGTGATTAAGAAGCACCACAAAATTGTTTTGTGAATAAGTCGACATGCTAAAACAAAATTGAAAAAAATGCCAAAAAAAAAAAAAAAAAAAGCCAAAAAAATGCCAAAAAAATAATGATAATAATAAAAAAATAATGCAAAAACTATCCTAAAAATTTTTATTCAAAAAACAACACAAATTACTTCTTGATCAGGTAAACACGGACCAAACGCTTCAAGTAATAGTGGTTCTTCTTCAACAGCTTGTTTAAAATCAGCGTATGATACTCGATTATCATGATCAAAATCCTATCAATTAAATTTAAATATTTGAATCAATTTCAAAATATAAACAAATATTTAAGCATTTGAAAAAAAAAAAATTAAACATGAAGAAACAGAAAGCATTAAGAATTGATGCCTTCAAATGCACTAAAATACATGGTTGACGCAATTTTTACCGAGATTTTCCTCTATAAAAAGATTTATTTGATTTTCGTCATACACAACACTCATAAGTGTTATGTATGACGAAATTAGGTAACATGATGCTTATAGTGAGAAAACATACTACTCTGAACTGTAAGGCTAGATAGTCTTTGACAAACAAACATAGTACAGTCAATAATAACTTTCGTTTTAGGATAAGTCTCTTTAAAGCACTTTGGCATGTTAAGTTTAAGTTGATCTAAATTAAGCCAAATTGGTATAGTACCCATAAAATTTGACAATGTTATAAGATATTTTGATACAGTAGATTTTGGTGTCTTGAATAACCAGGAAGTAAAACTTAAAGAAAAATCAAGCCTAAGCCATGTTAAAAATATAAATAGTTGGTCAATCGATTTCATTTTTGTGATTCTGGTGTAGAATATGAAGGAGAAGTAAACAATTCTTCAGGTTTTTTTAAGTTTTTCTTCAGAATGATGCTCAAAATAATAATACCTAATATTTTCGCATTCATTTCCAGGATTTAAATATTCAAACAAAATGTCAAACTTTTCTTTTCTCATACCAGTAAAAGAGTTAAAATATTTATCATCTTTTTCAAAACTTTCGTAGCTAAAAATATTATTTTTTAATCTGTCATTGATTATTTTAAAATTGTTATATTTTTCAAGCAAACTACAGTAGCTTTCATGAACAACTTCTAATCTTTTTTCTATATTTATTTTTTCGAATGATAACAGCTTACAGTTTTCGCAATCAAATTAGAGAAATGTCTATTATGAATTTCATACAATAATCTTTAAGCGTTAAAAATGATGACCTTATAAAATTTGTAACCCCTTCAGATTGATGAATATGTATTTTTATATTAAGAAACTCAAGTTAGACGAAAAAGTTCAACCTAAAAAAACAACCTAAAAAGTACTTTGTTTGCAACAATTTAAAAAAATTTAGTAAATTATACTTCACACAAATCTTACTTATGTGAAAAATTTTTTTATATAAATTAAAATCAAGTTATAAAACTAATTTGGATTTTCCCTATCGCAGTTAATCTTTAACAACATTAAAAATAATCGATGAATTATAATAACATTGATAAGGCACCCCAAAAATATTTATAAAACTCTACTATACATTTATAATTAAAAACTAATTTTATATAGTAAATAAAAGCAAAGAGTTTACTACACTAAACAACATTTAAAAAAATTTATTGAAAATGTATTTCGCTTTTTATAAAAAAAAAACAACCTGTTTTTTCAGAGCAACAAAATTATAAGACAGTTTTGAAAAAAAATTTAGGTGTCTTTTATAAAAAAAGACACCTAAATTTTAAAAAATTTACCATTTTTTTTTTTATACAATTACTGTGTTTTTTGTTAAGTCAGAAACCATTTTCAAAATGATTATTTATAAATTTTTAATTCAAGGTAATTATTTTAAAATTTTTATTACATTAGTTTATTTTTATAATTCAAGAAACCATTTAACAATATATATATATATATATATATATATATATATATATATATATATATATATATATATATATATATATATATATATATATATATATATATATATATATATATATATATATATATATATGATTTTATATATTTTTTACATTAGATAAAACTACACTGACTGCCAAAATGATTAGATTATTTTTTTGTGTATTGACTTTTTTTTACTACATATTACCCCATAACTCAAACTGCTTATTTTTAAGCAGAAGCTAGTTTTACGCATCACATAAAAAATTCATGCTTGCAGAATACTGTTTTATTAGGCATAAACAAATTAATTTGTGTAATTACTTCATTACCAGAGTTAAATGTTGATTGAATATTGAACAAAAATAAACACTTTAGAATGATATTTGAACAAAGATGAACACTTTAGAATGATATTTGAACAAAAATGAACACTTTAGAATGATATTTGAACAAAGATGAACACTATAGAATGATATTTGAACAAAAATGAACACTTTAGAATGATATTTGAACAAAGATGAACAGTTTAGAATGATATTTAAACAAAGATGAACAATATAAAATGATATTTGAACAAAAATGAACACTTTAGAATGATATTTGAACAAATATGAACACTTTGTAATGATATTTTAGAGTGTTAGTTGTGTTTAACTTTTAGTTGTACTTTTACAACAAAAGATAAATAATTAAGATAAAGATAGTCAAGCTAAAAATCAAAAAGCCAATTCATAGTCAAAAAAGGACAATTTTTAAAAATTACATTAATGTATTTATATGACTTATAATTCATCCATAAAATATGACAAAAAGCATTTTCCCAACCAAAAAAAATAAATAATAAAACTTAAAAAAACAATTGCGAATTAGTTTGAGTTTGCTTTTAGCATTATGCTTTAAACTTGAAGTATAACCTGAGATTTTAAATTTGCTTCTTGCATTCGGAAATAAATTTTGCTTTTTCAAGCTTTTCAAACTTCGTTGATTTTTAAGTATAGATTGAGTTCACACTATGTTTAAGTCAAAGTTTGCTTTTGTCATCCACCATTAAAAAAAATTGAATACCTGGTTTCTAAGAAATATATTATTTTATATAATAGAACGAAAAAAAAACAACAGTACTTTCAAATTAACATTCACCTATTTTGTTATTTTTCCATTTTGTTAAGTGCTTTAAAAAGAATTTAAGACTTTAAGGTTGAAATGATAAACCACCCTAGCTTTTTAATGTTTTTTTTATTTTTTTATTAGTGATATAAATATATTGTGCAGCTGAAAAAAACTTGCAAACGCATCCTTGTATTTTTTTCATTTCAAAAATACTATACAAAAGTATTAAGTACAAATTAAGTATACGAGATATTAAAATTAAAAAATTATCCTGACATTTGTTAAAGATAAGTGGCGCTTATAAAATTTCCATACCGAAAACACTGTACAATTTTTAGAACTAAGTTGGGCAGGTTCTTCTAATGATGCTTTTTTTCTTCTAGTCAAGGTCCAAAAATGCATTGTAAACATAGTTGGACCTGGTCAATCTTCTAAGATTGAGCCTCTTTCCCATCGTTGTAAAGTTGCACCTTTATCTTTTTTCTACAAATACTACCTTGATTACTGCTCAAAGGAGCTATCATCTCTAGTTCCATTAACTAAAACTCATTCTCGCTTGACTCGTCATTCATCAAAGTCTCATTCTTTTACTTATCTGTCCCTGCATGCTCATAAAACTTTTATTTGTCTAGTTTTTTTCCCTGCAACTCAACACTTTAGAACTCTCTCCCATTTTCATGTTTTCCAGACTCATACAACCTTCAACTTTTCAAGTCTTCTGTCAATTGTTTCTTTGCTCAATAGCTCTATTCTTTTTTTCTAGTAACTCCTGACTTAATAGTGATTGCTTACAGCCTTGTTCGAAGTGAATAAGAATAAAAAAGAGGTAAAAATAATACCAAAAAATATGATTTGCTGTATATAGATAAAAACATTTGTCATATTTTTAAATAAATGTAGATATACCATTTGCTTAATAATTATAGAAAAGCCACCACAGACTAACTTTAGAAAAGGAAAACACTATCTAGTTGTGTAAACTAAATTGTTTGAAAAATTCTGCAATTAGACCACACATTTATTACTTAAAATAGATACTTTTATAGCAGGAAAAACTATAAAGTTTCCTGATTTCAAAGTTAAGCTTACACCGAAAATCTAATGTCAGAAAAAAATAACTTTTTTGTTATAATATCTAACAATAATATCTCAATAAATAGTTTGTTTTTGAAAGTTTAATTAACTCTAAACTTATTTTTGAATGAATTTTTAAAATAAACAAAACTTGTTTTAACACTTGGGTTTAATACTATAACTAACAAACTAACTTTTATTTATGTAAATATAAAGTTCCTAAATAATAAACTAGTTAAACAACCAATAATCAAAAATCAAAATTAAAAAACCAACTGAAGTCTACCATTTTTTTAAGTGTGATTTCAACAAGATCTTTGACTCCTTCATCTGGATCTTCTTCAGAAGGTTGCTATAAAAATAAAAAAATGCTATAAAAATAAAAAATTTCAAATTCAGAACCTTTTACTATTAACTATTGTTTTCTAAAAATTATTATCTATTTGTTTTGTTGTGTATTTAGAGTCTAAATACGCAACAAATACAAAAGTATCCTTTTTTTTTTTATTTTTTTTTTATTTTATTTGCATTCACTCCCAACAAGGCTGCAAGCAACCACTATTAAGTTGGGAGTTACTAGGAAAAAAAAGAACAGAGTTATAGAGCAAGGAAACGGTTGACAGAAGAGTTGAAAAGTTGAAGGTTGTAGGAGTCAGGAAAACATGAAGATGGGAGAGAGTTCCAAAGGATTGAAGTGCGGGGAAAAAAACTAGATGAATAAAAGTTTTTAGAGCATGCTGGGACAGATACAGTAAACGAATGAGACTTAACTGAATGACGAGTAAAACGAGAATGAATTTTAGTTGATGGAACTAGAGATGATAACTCCTTTGAGCAGTGACCATGATAGTATCTGTAGAAAAGAGAAAGAGATGCAACTTTACGACGATGGGAAAGAGGTTCAAGCTTAGCAGATAGTCCAGGTCCAACAACATTTACAATGCGTTTTTGGACCTTGTTAAGAAGAGAAAGTGAATCGTTAGAAGAACCAGTCCAAATATGACAACAGTATTCCATACAGGGACGAATAAGAGATTTGTAGAGGTAGAGAATGGAATCAGAAGTAAGGAAAATGGCAAGCACGATAAAGAGAAGCAACCTTAGCAGAAGCTAATTTAGCAATCGATTGTATACATGGTTTCCATGAAAGGTCAGTAGTAAGCGATAATCCAAGAAGACGTAAAGAGGACAACTCAGTAAGAGGATTGCCATTCATTAATATAGGAATGTTGACCATACTACGGTAGTTGTTTGCAGTAAGCAATTGGGTTTTTTTAGAGTTGAAATTCACAAGCCACTGTGAACCCCAATCTATTACTGAAGTGAGATTAGATTCAAGATCAGCTGCTTGTTCTAGGCGATCGAAAAGAGAAGACTTTTTGTCAAGACAGGAGTATAAAGTCATCAGCAAAAAGAGCTACTTTAGATGAAAGGTTGTCAGGAAGATCGTTTATGTAGATAAGAAACAAAACAGGGCCCAGGATGGAACCTTGGGGAACCCCAGAAGTTACTGGAAATAAAGAAGAGTGTTGGCCTTCAAGGATGACTTTAATAAACCGATCAGAAAGAAATGATTTGATAATCTCAAAAACTTTCCCAGAAACACCATATGAAGCAAGCTTATGGAGAAGACCAGCATGCCAAACTTTGTCGAAAGCTTTAGATATGTCAAGAGCAATAGCCCTAGCCTCACCGCCTCCATCTAATGCACGATAAAATCTTTCAGTTACAGCAGTTAGCAAGTCGGCCGTAGAGCGAGAGGATCGAAAACTGTATTGATTGTCTGACAGCAGTTTATTTGACTCAAGATGAGATGTGAGGAATTTGTTGATCAAAGACTCAAAGACCTTGCTAATAACAGAAAGAAGACTGATCGGACGATAATTGGAGGGGTCAGAATTTTCTCCAGAGTTTTTGAATATTGGAACCACAGATGCCATTTTCCAACAAGCAGGAAAACAAGACTCAGTCAAACACTTGTTAAATAGTTTAGAGAGAATTGAAGAAAGTTCTGGAGAACAATTCTGGAAGACTGTGACAGGAATGTTGTCTGGACCACAAGCTGTAGACGAGTTTAATTGAGATATGACTTTAGCAACAGAAGCCGGAGTGATTTGAATGTCTAACAATGGGTCAACCTGTTTGACTGGAATGGAAGGAAGAGAATGTCCATAAGATTCAAGAGTGGAATTAGAAGAAAAGTTCTTTGCAAACAGTTCTGCCTTATCCCTGGGAGAGGTAACAAGATCAGTCCCATGAATGAGAGATGGAATGTTAGATCTACCCTTGTTAACAATGTTGTTGAAGATTTTCCAAAAGTCTTTAGAGCCTAACTTCTGCGATAAGATGCGAGATTTAGTGAACTGAGAATAATGGAGTTTAGCATCAGAAAGCACCTTTTTACATCGATTTCTTGCAATAATAAATAGCCGTTTGTTCTCAAGAGAGTTGTTCTTTTGAAAAAGATGAAAAAAATGGTTACGATTGGATATAGCAGCCGCACAAGAAGGAGAAAACCATGGAGTAGAATGAGGCTTGACTTGAAACCGACGAGAAGGAATAAAAGCTTCCATTCCAGCCTGAATCCAGGAGATTATGTAGGAGGCGCATTTGTCAGCTGAGAGAGAAAAAACATTAGCCCAAGAACCATCACGAAGAAAATCACGAAAGGAATCCCAGTCAGCTTAAGGGTAGTAGTAGATGGTGCGATGATAAGGTGAGCCCAAAAAAGAAGTACGAGAAGAAAGATTTACAGAGATCATTGCGTGGTCAGAACCACCTAAGGGAGAAAAGGGAGAAACTGAACATAAGCTAGGGTCAGAGACAAGACATAAGTCAAGGAGTGAAGGTAAATGATTAGGGTTGTCAGGAAAACGAGTCACAAAGTTAACTATCTGAGTAAGAGATTGAGAAACGCAGAAGTTAAAGGCTTTAGTGCCAGCAGGATCAGTGGTGTTAGAGCCAAGCCATTCAGTGTGATGGGCATTAAAATCACCAACAACAACAATATTGGCAGAGGGGTAAAGAGAGAGGGCATGGTCAATTTGATCAGAGATAACATCTTAAAGAGTGCAATCATGGGAAGAAGGAGAACGATAAAGAACAAAGAGAAAGGTGATAGAGTGAAGAGGTGCTAGGCGAAAGCACATAAAAGAATGGTCAAAGGATTCGAACCTGATTTCACGACAAATAGGGGAATTAATGCGTATGTAAACCCCTAAACCTAGCATGTGACTATTGGAGTCTTTACGAATCAAAGGATAGTACCCATCAACACTGACATCTGAAGAAGGAATTGCAGAACTTAAATTTGTTTCACTGAGTGCAAGCAAGTCTGGTGAATTTTGCAGGAGGTAAGACTCAACTGATGGAAAGTTGCTTCGTAGACCGCGAATATTTGTAAAAGATATATTAAAATATTTAGGTGGTGGGGATGGTTTTTTAGGTTTTAAATTTTCGCTTACTTTGGTCATGATTTGGGTTTAATGAGAACTTGACTCATTCATAGATAGAGCACAGCCTCCTAATCAATGAGCTATGCAGTTGTCTCAGTCCTGTTAATTAACCCTAAGCCGTGACATAGGGCTCCTTATGTGGTCTTGACAATGCACACCAAAAGCATTAACAGGGACACCATCCATGCGCAACATGGCACTGTTAATACTCTGATATTTTGCAGCTGTTGATGGAATCAGCCTCTCTGAGAGCTACCACAGAGTTCGGGAAACCTTACTACCAGCCGGCCTCAGAACCATTAAACTGAGTTTTAGAGCTGTACCCTCATATGGAGATAACAGGAAGAGTTGCATAGCCATTATCAAGGAGGCATAAGCAAAATTCTATGAGTAGAGTCAAGGAGATCCAGCATTCATCATCCTAAGCAGGAAACAATGTAACACAGGTTACATCTACGCCAGCCTAATAGATGAAGAAGGGGTTCGAGGCTGGTTAGCAGAATTTTTCTGCTTACCCCTAAAGTCTTTGCCTAGGAGGCCTTCTACAAGACAGTAGCAGGATGCAGTTAACATCTGCCCAAGATGAGTATTTTTATCGAGACACCATCTCTAGCCTTTACTCAACCAAGAGCCCCAAGGCAGGGGATGTTTAGCTGGATGCAGTTAACATCTGCCCAAGATGAGTATTTTTATCGAGACACCATCTCTAGCCTTTACTCAACCAAGAGCCCCAAGGCAGGGGATGTTTAGCTGGATGCAGTTAACATCTGCCCAAGATGAGTGTTTTTATCGAGACACCATCTCTAGCCTTTACTCAACCAAGAGCCCCAAGGCAGGGGAATTTTTAGTCGGAGTTTATTTCTCCTAGCCTTTGCATAAGAAGAGCACACTCTGCAAGGCAGCAGGGCTTGTGGCAGGTGGTACTGGGTTACGTGATACCAGTAGCAAGATTGATCTCGATTATCCTGACCTGACCTGGTGAACTTTGTTCACCAACTTGTTTAAAACTACTTCCACAATTATTTGAGATGTTACAGTTCTGATCAGAACTACTTGAGATGTTACAGTTTTGATCAGAATTAAGCTCAGCTCTTATTACACTATCTGATTGAGAATCTGTAAAGTTGGTGTTTTCGCCTTCATATTGATTTTCATTTGCTGCAACAACTAAATTTGTTTCTATTTTTACAACTCCATTACATGCAATTATCTCATTTTTATTTGTTTCAAGATAAGGAATTATGCAGCTTTGAAGCTAAGGAATTGTGCAGCTTTGAAGCTCTTCTTTAAAAGCACCATTATTAATGTTATAATTAATGGCGTTAGTAACAAAATTATTGATGTTGTTATTTAACTCATTATTAACGCCACTATTATTTGAGATGTTGCCGTTCTGATCAAAATTAAGCTCAAAATCAACCATACAATCTGATTGAGAATCTGTAAGATTGATGTTTTTTGTTTCATTTTGATTTTCATTTGCTGCAACAACTATATTTATTCCTTTTTTTACAATTCCATCACTTGTAAGTTCCTCATTTGAATTTGTTTCAAACTTATGGATTACACAATCTTGAAGCTCTTTTGATATAATCATAACATCACTGAGATGCTGTATAAAATTATTATTTTCATTAACATGATTAAAACAACTATCTACAGCAGGAAGAATTTCATTAACCATTTTGTTAACATCATTATTAATGCCATTGTTTATTCCATTATCAGCACAATTATAGTTGCTGTTATTCAAATCATTGTTAACATCATTATTTATTCCATCATTAAAATCATTATAAACACCATTATTAATGCTATAATTAACATCATTAATAACATAACTAGTGATGTCCTTACTTAAATCAGTGTTAATGCTATTATTGATGCTATTATTGGTTCCATCAATAAAATCATTATAAATATCTTTATTGACATTATTTAAATAGTTTTTATTAATGCCAGTATTAAAATCTTTATTCTCACTATTATTGTCATAATTATTAGGATTGATAACAAACTTATTGATATCATTATCAAAATCATTACTAGTGCCATTATCAATAACAATACCTGTAGTAGACATAAAAGTTACACATTCATTGTGTGAATTACTTGGAACTTTTTTACTACAATTACTATTTAGTTTTTTGTTTATACTACTGTTACAACTGCTAGAACTATGATACAGAGCTTTTGCATCAGAGTTAAAAAAACTCTCAGCTGACACAGTACTGCTTGACGAACTACTTGAATTACTATTTTTAGAATCATTTGATGTTTCAGAGTTATTCGGAAAACACTTTATTGGAAGACAATGTACAAAATTATCAACATTATTAAAGACAGAGGGGTTGTTAATTGATGGCTCTATATTTCTGGATAGTTGCTGAGAAAAATGAATTTGATTTAAAGTAGAGTTTGTTTTGGGAGAGGTTATAACATATAGAATGTTTGACGAGTTTGTTTCATTTATTTTAGGAGGTTTCTCATCTTTACAATAAAACATTACAGCATCTAGCTCATCTTTTGGTAAATCGTTCCTTACTATAGAAACTTTGGGCTTTGTTTCAGTATTTGGTTTGGGTGATAACATTTCTTTAGTCATTGATAAAAAACGCGTAATAAATCGAGCCCAAAAAGCATTGGGAATACAGCTAAAAAAATAATAACGAGTGAGTAGGCTATTTGATTTGATCAACAATGCATATTTTGGATCGTAACTTGGAAGTTTCGGTGGAATAAGAACTCTATGATCATCTATCTTGCAAGCAACTTGAAATCGTGATAATAAACTTATACATTTTTTTATTAAATCAGGATTTTAATTTCCCAGTTCTTTTTTTAAAATTAATGGAATCCTATAATAAAAAATGGAATCCTATAATAATAAAGAATCCTATAATAATAATAAAAAAATGGAATCCTATAATAAAAAATCAAATAAATAACAAACTTTGACTAAATTTTTTACTATTATTCTTAATTTAAACAGAAATACGATGAGCTAAAAATAATTTATGTGTATTTGTGTGAATAGCCCCTCCCCTTTATTTATAACTGTCATTTGCAAAATAAGAGAAACATTGCATCCATGTGAATTAAAAATCCTGTTAAGAATTTTTATGAAAATAGCAGTTATCATTATGTTATAGTATTTCGTATTTGTTTCACGAGACTAGTTCTACTTTTTTCAGAGCATGCTTAATGGTCATCTTATTGAAGCACATTGTCATGAGAAAAACATTTAAAAAAATTAGTTTTTCTCATTTTAATCAGTATTAATGATGCTTTTGTAATTAGAGTGAAAGTTGAACTCCAGACTTTTGAATTTTAAGTCTAACACTGCATGTCATCATTCAATTTTTTCTTGAACATTAATGTTTTGAAAAATTCGTAATTCTTTCCTGAAATCAAATAATTTATGAGATTTCTGTCAATCGTTTTTGGTTTTTAACTGCCTACTTTTTTTCAAATAATGGTTTTATGTAGCTTTATTGAAATCGGAAGTCCTGTAGCCTTATTAAAAGTGGAAAAAAAATATAAATTTTTAATCACATTAACTCGTTTAAATGATACACGAAAAATTGCATAGTACACTAAAAAGTAAAAATGGCGACATAAAATTCAAGTTAAATGTAAATATATTAATCAAGTTTAAAGGATTGAAACACAAATTAAAAAATAAAATAAAAAATAAAAAACTAAATAAAAAAATAACTTGATTTCAATAAGAACAAACCACAAATCTAAGCTGAATCAAATATACTATTTAGCTTTATTTTAAGTACTTTCATTAAACCTTAATTAATGTATTTTTGAGCATGTGAAAAATTTCCTCTCTTGTGATGAAACCATTTGAATTCAAGTCATAAACATCAAAGCAATCTAAAATAAAATAAATATTTTTTACTTAAAAATTTTAATATTTACAATATAAGAACAATATTATTTATAAGTAACAAATAAAATCAAAGTAAATTAGTAAAGAAACAACACTACTAGACAAAATGATTAAACAATAAAATTTCTAAACACAATACTTTTAAATATCATTAAAAAATTTCAAAAATAGTTTAGGAGATATTATTGATAATAAACATTAGTGATGTATCGCACGTTTTAAGTCAATGGCATTACCAGTTTTTAAAAAGTTCAGAAATATAAAAGCATGCAGTACTAAATCACATAAATTATTTCTCAAAAACAACAAGCATACCTATATTAAGTTGAATTGGTTGTTATTACAATTCTCAGAGAATTTAAAAAAATTAAGAGTTTTGATTATTTAATATATAACTATTTCCATAATGCAGATAGGTTAAAAATGTCATCATATGACCTACTCATGCCATTTTATAAAAGAAATCGTAAGGTTACTGATTATATTTTACATTTCTTTAAAAACAAGTTAATTTATGAGATATTTGCTTTTATTAAGTAAACACTGTTCCCCCAAAAATGCTCATTTATTGAGACTTATAACTGCCAAAGCTGCTAAACAAAGAAAACCCAGGAAAGATTTGAACATGCAATGTGATGATGAGTTGAATATTAACAATAATAATACAGCATTTTATAACAAAATGTGGATCAAAGAAGACAAAAATTTATTTAAAACAGATATTTTATATAAATGCTTCTATAAATGCCATCAAGATATATATCCTTAATATATATATATATATATATATATATATATATATATATATATATATATATATATATATATATATATATATATATATATATATATATATATATATATATATATATATATATATATATATCAATAATATATTTATATAATAATAGGCCTGTTATATCTTTAAATCAAATAGAAAAACATACTAACAGGTCTAAAATGTTACATTTTACCTGCAAAACGTTGCATTTAAGACCTGTTAGTATGCTTGCCTCTTTACAGCTACTCTTTTCAGTTCAATAATAGATTTGACTATAGAATTCTGAAAAATAAAAATTTAAATTAACTTAAACAAATTCTAAATTATTATTATTTTATCAAGTATTATAAGGCAAGGCAATCACATTACTCTATTATCTAAATAGACTATATTTGTAAGTAATTCTGGGTATCATTAAACTGGAAGATTTTCTCCTTGATTTCTGATTGGTTTAAAATTATAGTTCCATATAAAGTATATTGGTCCATATTCACTACAGATTTTGATATTAAATTTGGAATGCCTAGATCTAAAACTTGCACTGCCTGTAATAAATTTTGTATTAAACTTGTGAATTGATATTTAATGAATCTAAGAATAACAAAATTATTATGGAGGAGAATCTTCATCTTGTAAAAGGTGAAAAGTTTATTGAGCTAAAAAAATTACGAACACAGGGTACAGAAAGGTCAAGCCACGTTAATTTCTTTTAACTACATGCAAAAAATTTACTGTTATCGCATGTTCCACCTGCTGACAGCTTTGAAACTATGCTTTTGGTTTACATAACATCAGCAATAATGATGCTTCTTTGTGTTGTTATCATCAAAGTGTTAAGAAAAAATATTTTATATGTTACAAAATGATCTTTTGTATCAATGTACAAAAGTGTAAAGCAACAACTAGTGCTCTTTCCAGATGAGCGTGACAAAATAAATCTAGGTGGTGTTCATCATAAAATTTATCAAAAGCAAATAAATAATTGAATTTCTTTGAGCCTGTAGTTGAAACAAACTATTTGGAAAATCAATGAAGATGTTCTTCTGTTGTCATAACTTGACAACAGAAAAATAACTTCTTTTGGATGGATAACAATCAAATTTTTATTTGATCATAATTCCTAATTTCATATATTTCAGTTTCCTTCTTTTTAATTCTCTTTTAATTAATCCTGAACTCTGTTATCCTAATTCAATTTAGAAATACATTTTGATGGATTGACTTTAATTGATTTATGTTATTAATGATCCTAATATTTCATGTTATTAATAATAACTCATGTTAAAAATATTCAAATTGTCTTTTGACATAAGGCTTGATTCACCATTTAATCATCTATGGTATTACCATAAATCAGGATCCAATTAAACCTAAAACATTGTCCATAGATCATTGAACAAAACTCATAATCAATTATTAATTATGTTCATGCTGACTATTGGTAAAACTCATTTAGTAGTAGTAGTAGTAGTAGTAGTAGTAGTAGTAGTAGTAGTAGTAGTAGTAGTAGTAGTAGTAGTAGTAGTAGTAGTAGAAAAATGCTGCAACAGGCAGCCTTATCTACTTCATACACTAATTTTATTCAAATCAATATATAAAAATTTACAATAAGACATATAGCATGAAGTATAAGTTTGTACTTTATTTAGAGACTTTCATTTGTATGGACTGTATGGTACTTGTGGATTGTATATAGGATAAAAGGTTTCAAAAAAAAATCATATGGTTCTTATTGATTTGTTTTACCTAAAGTTTAAGGAAAAAAAAAATTATATGGTTCATATTGCTTTGTTTTACCTGAAAATTAAAAAAATAAAATATTATTATTTTTTTCAATACAACACATAAAAAACATAATTAGCTAATTAAAAAATGAATTTAATTTAATAAAAAATCATAAACAAAAAAAAATTACATCTTGTCTGTTCATCTAAAGTACCACGAAGAAAGACAGACAGCCCATTTATCCATTCTTCCATGCTTATGTTGCTGTCATTATCTCTATCAAATGCCCTGAAAACTTAAAAACTTTGAGTAAAAAATACTCATGTTTCATTTATCTTTCATTTAGAGAAATTATCAAAAAAAAAAAAAAAAAAAAAAAAAAAAAAAAAAAAAAAAAAATCTAAATTAAAATATTGAACAGAAAAAACGTGCTCTTAAACTTTTAATAAACTTTTACACACAAAAATAGAGAAAAAAAGAAAAAAGAACTGAGTTATAGAATAATATCAACAAACATGCCAAATAAAAACGTAGCATACATTCACACACATAAAAAAAATAGCCGTAATAAGTAAAAAGTATTCATTATGAATGAAAACATTGAAATAAAATAAAAAATCAATTCAAAATATTTATAATAATAGCATTTTGTAACAATAGTTATAATATATAGCATATGAAATATAATAGCACAACTTTATATTAATCAATTTTATATTAATTATATATAACTGAATATGCAAATGTTAATATGTAAATAAAAAATCTTAAATGTAAATAAAAAGATAATATGTTTTTAAGTAATAGCAAAATAAATATAATTATAATTAAATATTACTAAAAATAAAATAAGTAAATTAAAAAATGCTTATGTAAACATGTAAACAAACAAATTTTTACTTTTAATCTTATAATTCAATTTTTTTTTTTTTTTTAATACTGGTTTTTTCTATTTTTATTACTTTTTATTACTATTTTCGTTTATAATATATAAATATATATATGCTACAAAAGCTGCAAAACTATTTCATCTTATTCTAAGATACTCAAGTTTATTTAGTGAAAGATCAAGGTCTTTAACTGCCTTTTCTAAAACTGTGTCTCTAAAGAAATTCGCTTTCACAATGACTGTTAGATCATGGTTTTCTTCTGCCAAAATGCTAGTTAGCATCAGATATGAGAACATTGACATACTTTGCAACAAAATCTTTCAGTTCCTTCATAATTATAATTTCTTTATCAAACAGTCAGTGGATGTTTCCTGCTTACTTTGTCTAGCTTTAACTGATCCTTACTTTTATTTAGCATTGTATCATACTGACTGTATACTAACTTTTAAAAAGATCACCGTAAAGCTTATTTTGATGGATAATAATATAGTTTTTGATGAATTTATGTGATCATAAACCTTTTTTTTAAGAAACAAGAGATCTTTTTAGTAGATTTTCGACCAATAACTACTGCTTTTTAACACTGAAAGCTCAACCTATTGCACATTGGCTGTGAGGTAAAACAAAAAAAATATAACAGACTTTCTGCAACGCTGAACTCATTAGAGTTTTGTACAAATAAACATCAATAAATTTATAACAGAACCAGTTAATTCATTAAAAGATTAAAACTTTTCTAAAAATTAAATACATTCTGAATCAACAAATTCATCATATCTTTGTTTTGCATCATCAGCATATCACTTGAAAGCCAATTTAACAGCCTCAATTGACACTTGAATTTTAGGATGGATACTTTCTTGTTTTGAATCAGTTTATTTAAAGACCAAGATGAATTCCTTAATGAAGAAAATTTAAAAGGCTATCTTTCTTGTAATATTCGGATTAATGGTATGATCATCTGCTTATATATTTTTACTAAAACTTCTATTTCTCTTTTGATTTACAATAAAAAGTAATTAAAATCTGTTTCTATTTCTATGTTTATTTTGTCTACTTCTCGCTGGTCATTTGATTTAACTCAATCTTTGTTAAATCTTTAAAACCTCAAAATTCACATTAGAACCACCCATTGATACCACCCATTAGAACCACCCATTGATACTTGAACCACCCATTGATACTTGAACCACCCTTTGATACTTGAACCACCCATTGATACTTGAACCACCCATTGATACTTGAACCACCCATTGATACTTGAACCACCCATTGATACTTGAACCACCCATTGATACTTGAACCACCCATTGATACTTGAATTAGTTTCCCAAGATCAAACAACTCTGACGCTTCAATAAATTTGTCAAATAAACTCTGCAAATTAGAGTGTCTGATGAACTTCAATATTTCTAGATTTTACATCTCTAATTCTACTTTTGAAGATCTTTTATGTTCATTGAAATTCGATATTAGCATTTGTTTTAACGTTTAACATGTAAATTTCAATTATAAGCAGTTTCTCTTTTATATGATGTATATACCAACCACATATATAGCCTTTTGATGATGACACTTCTATTTGGATTGAATATGTATGTGTTATGTAAAGTTCGATATTACTAGTACATATGTCAAAAAGTCTTGCCTGTACAATCTCAAAAATGTTTCATCACACTGGGTCTTCTGTGAGAGGACTATAAACCATGTACAAAAGTCCAGCAATAGTCAGCAAGTAATAAAAGTGAAGGTTTACCTTTCATCTCACTGATTTCTTAATGAAATCATTCAATATGCTCATCAGATATATAACACATGTTTTCAGGGAAAATATTTAGGTGAGAATGCATAAAGTAAAGTTTGAATGACATATTACAGCTTTGGCTTTCATAGCTTTTCATCATATTCTTTATTAGAGATTTAAAGTTTGATTTGTGTTGTCTAAGAAAAAACCATTATAAACATTTTGAAAGCCATGCTACTTTTTGAACTAGTGTCAGAGTGTCATCAAAGTACTGATCGAGTAACGGCTGCTATAATTGTGGTCTAATGAAAACACCTCCTGTTACTTACACAAAACTCAACTTGGGGAGTTGCATCACAATCTTTGTCAAGTACTTTTACAAACTGTTTGATAAATCCTAATTTTGCATGTAAAGGCGACAATATAATCTTGTTCAGTGAAACAAGTGGAGGATTTGCAACATTTTTTAGTCCAACAGCAAAATCATCTTGCTTAGGCCATACTTTTTCTTTGTAATGTCTTGTTAATGAATCCCAAAGGCAGAGGAAACAACAGAACATAATGTATTCTGTTTGTAGTTCAGTTAGAATTACAACAAGTTTAAGATCAGCACATACAGTCCACTGATGCTTATTATACTGTGTAACATTCAAAATACCTTTCACATTTTTGTAAGTTTTTCGTATGATCATTGAAAATGCAACAGGCATGGTAGTTGATAATGTAACAATACAGCTTTGGCAGTATGTAACAATACAGCTTTGGCTATAATTTTTGAACCATTAATAAACAGACGCCATTCAGTAGAATTGTGTTCCTACTCAAAGAATTAAAATAAACCGTCAATACTACAGCTATAACAAAGTTCATTCTTCATTTGAAAAAATGAAATGTCATTTTGTGATACAATTCTGATAAAGTGATGCTTTAACACCTATTTGTTACAAGTTTTTCTCTTTTAATTTTGATGCTAGCAGTTCAATATGATCTTTAGCCATCTTCAGATCTCAGATCAATTCGTTAAGTTGGGAAAACAATTAAGGTCTGTCATCATTTAAATCCAATGCAGATAGAAGAAAGTCGTTATCTTTATGTACAATAGGGTACAGTGAGATTCTAATGTTTTTGAAAAAAATGAAATTTAAGCTTAGGAAAAAGTATATTTTTATTTAAAATTAAATTTCAAGGTAGGTTTGCTGTGGACTAGGGGTGGGAGTTAAGGTTAGTTTTAGTCTAACTAAAAATACCCAACTAAATTTTTAGTCTAACTTAAATTAGTTGACCAACTTTTTAGTTAACTAAAATTAGTTGACTAATGTTTTATTTAACTAAAATTAGTTGAATAACTTTTTAGTTAACTAAAATTAGTGGACTAACTTTTTAGCCTAACTAAAATTAGTCGATTAACTTTTTAGTTAACTAAAATTACCCAAGTAACTTTCTAGTTTACTAAAATTACCCGGCTAATTTTTTTGCTAAGTAAATTACCAGACTAATCTTTTAGTTAACTAAAATTACCTCACTAACTTTTTAGTTAACTAAAATTAGTCGACTAACTTTTTGGTTAACTCAAAATATCCTACTAACTTTTTAGTCTAACTAAAATTAGTCGACTGACATTTTAGTTAACTCAAATTAGTGGATTAAATATTTAATGTAACTAAATTTAGTTGATTAAAGCAAGATTTATTAAGGTGATTCAAGAAGCTTAATTAAGGTGATTAAATATTATTTTATCATAATTAAACATTTTACTAATTGTAAATCCTTGAGCCCAATCAAATTAAACTGTTATTCAAAAAAAATGTTTTAAGCAAAATTTGATTATTTTTATTTTTTCCCAGCTCCGAGACAACAACAGTTGTTGCAACTGTTTATAAACACCGAATTAGCATGGAGTGTACAAATAATTAGAGATGGCAATCTCAGGATCCCAGGATCCTGAAATCCCGGGATTTTTTACCAAATTGCTCATCCTGAAATCTCCAGATTAGTTTCCGTAACTTCCTGGGATTTCATATTTATATTATTTTTATAATATAAATATGAAATCCCATTTTAATCAATTGTTATTTTTATTTATACTGTCTCCATTTTAAGGTATTGTTTTATAATTTAAAGTACTTAGGTTCATTCATTTTTAAAAGTCTCAGATAATTTTTAATATAACAAAATAAAGTTAAAAAAAGTTTTTAATTTAATTTTTAGGTTCATTAATGTATTAAATATTTTATATTATCATGAAACTAATCATTTTAAAGTGTTTAATGAGTACTTAAAAAGTATTCAATTGCTTTTTTTTCTATTCAATCCCAAGATTTCCCCAGAACAAATTTCTCAATCCTGAAATTCGGGGATTAAAAATTTTTGGGATTTTTGCCATTCCTACAAATAATTCCCTTTAGTTAATTAAATCAAATTTGGTATGCTTATTGAACGTTTAACTTATATTTTTTATGTGCTGCGACCTATAGGTAGTGTGCAATAATAATCGCACATCAAGAATAATCTCCCTTGACAAGGCTGTACCAACAGAGGTGTGGGCACCTGCCCAGGTTTACAATATTCTGACGGTTTTGTTGGTAATTTGGAAAATTTGGGACTCAGTTGCTTAAAACTGAAATTTGGCTTTTTTTTTTTTTAAAAAAAAAGCCCTATTTT